ACAGGTTCCAGAAGATGCATTTTGGCAACTGTAATGAAACTTAGGATGAATGCCAGTGACTAAATTCAGTAGAGAACTCCAGAAAGCAGACACCAGGCTGCCTCTCTCATTTATGAGACATTTAAATACCGCTGTTGTGCAGGAATGCCATGTGCAGTGGTGCTCACTCAGCAGCCAGCTTGTGGAGACCCAAGTGTCCAGACAGACTGGGGACAAGGTGTCACACAGCCACTCCAGGGGGATTTAGAAAGAAGAGAGGTGGTGGTGAAGGTCTGGGTCACACTGCTGTATGTGGCATCCTAAGCACCTGTCAGAAGTGTTAGACGTGCCCATACTAACAGCTGGAGAAGGAAGGTTTTGGCCATGGTCAAGTGTGGTTTTGGCAAATGTCAGCTAGAGCTCTCTGCAAGAGAGCTAAATTCACTAAACCAAGTGAGATGATGGTTTCCATTAGATTGTATGGAATAAAATACGCAGGAAGTTCAGCTGCACAAACTCAGAACATGTAATGACCCATATTCCAGGACCAGAAAGTGAGTCCTCTCTTGTTTTATTTACCCTCAGAGGCACAGATAATAAGTTCCCTGCAAGGCACAGCAGACACGATTGATTCCCCTCTGAAAACGCCGGGGTTATTGGTAGGTAGCACATTAATTCAAAAAATAGGTGGCTCTTCCCTGCTCAGCCTGAAGCATCCCTGTTGACTCTGCAAGAGCCTTGATGGGCAGCCTTTGAACAAGCTACACTGTTTTTTAACAGGAACTGTTAAAAACCTGTTTTTGTTGTCAGTGAAGACACTGATGTAAATGGGTAGTACTTACATGGCAAGTGTGATTTCATGCCTTGCTGTAAACTCAAAAAACAGTGTCAGCAAACAAGAATATACAACTAAATATTGTTATTTTTAGCCATCTAAAATCTCTTTTGGTTAGTGCTTTTATTCTTGGCTTAGATAGCTTTTCCACAGCCAAATAAGAAAAATAACACTTATTGCCAGTGAGAAGCATTAGCTCATGTGTGTTCAGTACCTGCCACAGTGCTAGGTAAAAGTGCTAGGTACTAGAAGTGAAGCACATCTTAGCACTCAAAGATGTGCAGGCTGAAGTTGTCCCACTGCCCAGGCTGGGATGGCTACTGATTCTAAAGAGCCTTAAGCCATAATAGAAAACAAGTTCAGGCATATAAACAACAGTATGTAAAGCACAACTAAACAGGAATACACATTTTCCAGAAAACTAAATGTAGCTTTCTCTATTTCAATAAAAAGCTGTTCAGTCAGTCATGTTTTCCTCCTCCATGAATTACTGGATGCAAGATGCAGGAGAAAGTCCTTAGTTGAGGATTTTTTTTTTTTTTTTGTTTTTTTTTTGTTTTTTTTGGTTTTTTTTTTTAATCTCAACACAGTTTATCAGGAATTTAGTGTGAATGCCTCTACAAGCACCTCTGAACACAATGTTGGGATGCAATGCACCAGTCACTAGGGAAAAGTGATGCACAATCATGAGACTTCTGTATTATTTATGCAATATCACTCCTAAGCAGCATGTTTACCCAAGTGCTGTTCAGCTCTGATATCCTGGGTGTTCCCACTCATCCATGGCTGCACTGCAGGGGTAGATTACTAGATTACATCCTGATTGCCATAACCCAGAGGTGGGGGCCATGTCAGCTGTGTATACCCTCTGTATGCTGACACATAGGGAACCCAGAGCAGTAAAAATGACAGATATGCAAATTAATTAAAGAGATGCAGCCAAGGACACATTTGGCTTTCTGGGCTGTGGGTGCACATTGCCAGCTCATGTCCAGCCTCTCATCCATCAGGACCCCTGAACCATTCTCAGCCAGGCTGCTCTTGATCTGTTCATCCCCAGCCTGTGTTGATACCAAGGGTTGCCCTGACACAGGTGCAGCACCTTGCACTTGATCTTACTGAGCCTTGTGAGATTCCTATGGGTCCACTTCTCCAGTTTCTTCAGGTACCTCTGGGTAGTATCCCATCCCACAGCTGTGTCAGCTGCACCACTCAGCTTGGTGTCATTCGCAAACTTGCTGAGGGTGCACTTGATGCCACTGTCTGTGTCATTGCTGAAGACACTAAACTGTACTGGTCCCAGTATGGACACCTGAGGGACACCACTTGTCACCGATGTCCATCAGGACATTCACCCATTGACCAATACCCTCTGCATGATATGTGGCCTATTTTTCATCCACTGAACAGTCCACCCATCCCTTCAATCCCTCTCCAATTTAGAGTGAAAGGTGTTGTGTCAAAGGTCTTACAGTAGTCCAGAGAGATGACATCCACGGCTTCTCCCTAGTTCACTGATGTAGTCACTTCAACCTAAAAGACCACTAGTTTAATGAGGCAGGATTTGCACTTGGTGAAGCCATGCTGGGCATCTCAAATTTCCTCCCTGTCCTCCCTGTGCCTTAGATCCTCCTCCTAAGAGGATCTCTTCCATGGTCTTCCCAGAACAGAGGTGAGGCTGACAGGTCAGTAGTTCCTGGGGTGCTCCTTTCTACCCTTTTAACAAATGGGTGCAATCTTTCCTTTTTTCCAAACACCAGGGACATCACTTGACTGATGTGACTTTTGAAATACCAAAAAGCTCTTTTAACACACATTCACATTCACATTTACAGTGTGCTTATGTGAACCAAGGAGCCTGTCTTGAGTCCTTACAATGGTATTTAAATATCTCATAACTAAGACAGGTAGAAAAGCCCTTTCTGGAACCTCACACAGAGAGTGAGGCAGTAGTGGTGCTATGGCTGAAATGAGCACCACCATTCATCTGATTCAGAAAACCGAAGCAGAAACTGGTTTAAATAACTGATCAGATTTTCCGTATGAATCTTTGCTGCACCCTTTAAAAAAACCCATAGCTGGTTAATGATGATCACCTATGCTCAGCTGTATTTACTGTATGTGTGGATTTGTCCTTGCCCAGAGCTTGCAGCCAGAATTCAAGGCACTGGCATAGCCTGCCCTGCTGTCCATGATTTGCCTTGTGGCTTTCCATGGGCTCAGGGATGTCCAGCTAAGCCAGAATGTTCCAGACCTACAGAGCCTGCTTGGTAGTGCTGATATGGCCATGCACCATTCAGGGTCCCTGCACACAAATTACTTTGATTTTCTTTTTTTTTTTTAATGCTTGGGGAAACTTCCAGAGAGAAGAAAACACAGAAAAACTTACCCTGCTCCTACGGTGGCTGTTTCTGGCACGTGGCTTTTGGCATGTGTGAAACTATATAACAGCAATTGCTTATGGAAAACAGGGGAGCATTTAAATGCACAGGTTCACCTAAATATGGGGTTTTTTTTTTTAATGTGAGTATCTTTTGTTATGCAAATTATATTTTTTTCCCAATCTTTTTTCACTTTTAAGAAATGGAGTAAATCACTATCAACAGCACATCCTTAATACATGAGTTATATTGCATACTCTTCTTCCACAGGCTGAGCCTTCAGGACACTGTGGGTCTCATTCAGGATGTTGTGTCAGCGGGCAGGTGACCATTGCCTTATTCACAGTGACATCTATCGGCAAAAGCAATATGCAAAGGACCTCTTTTCCTATTAGAAGGCTTTTAGAGTACCTCTTTTATTTTTAGCATTTTTCTTTATCTTCTCCAAGTCTCACGACTCAGTTTTTCCCAGTCAGTTCAGAATTTTAGATTACTTTCTACAGCTTAGTCTGTTATCATCTTTTCTCACCCAATATTCCTCTTTTCAATCAATCATTCATCTGTTTCTGACAGGGGAAGATTTTATATCATCAGCACCATTTGCCAGTTTATTAATGAAAACATAAGCTGAAGGGAAAACATAAATCAAGAAAAAAATCTCAGAAAAGAACCAAGAATGACTGGGTTAACTTTTTTTCCTCAAAATCACTAAAGTGCTGCTCAAAAAACAAGAAATATTGAGGCCACATTTCTGTCTGTTGTTCATACAACTGTAGAAAGGAAAAGAATGGCAGTGTTGACATTTAAACAGCTGATATTTCATTCAAAATATTTACAAACCAAAGACAGAAAAATATTTAAATCAGATCTTTACAAAAACTTTTTTTTTCTACCTATTGCATGTAACCTATATGATTTTAATCTGATAAATGAAATTGTCAGTAATATCTACAAATTATTCAAATTTGTCTACCCAAGTATGTGGGTGAAATTTGATAAAATAGAAACAGACACAGAAATTGACAGTGCAGCACATCATCTCTGTTAATCAGAGGCCAAGAATCTTTGTTTTCACATGACAATCCAGTATTCTCCTGTCAGAGACACTCCCTGTTGTCAAATTCTGCTGCACAGGAGAAGAGACATAGATTACACATGCAAATATTTCACCACAGTAAAAACTTGTGTTTGGCATAAATGATGGAGAGGTTGACAGAAATAGGAAAAAAACCCATGAATTTAGGCACGTTTTTGTTTCAGCATTTCAGTATTATCTCCTGTCTCACAAAAACAGCAGACACACAAAGAATGTCCCCTGTCACTGAGTGAAGTACTTCATAAATAAGAGATACAGAAATAACAGTATCTAAGAGATTAAATCACAGACCAAATCTCTGTATTTCACACCTACAACTAGAAAGCAAGATCAGATTGTGTGGGAGAACAAAAAAATGTAACACCTAGGTCAGAAGTCAGTTGCAGTCCATCTAGTAGCAGAGTGATAGGGGAAATTGTCACCATGCTTTTTTTAGACTAATTAATAGACAGTAAAAGAAAGAAGCCACATTTCTTGAGCAAGACTCCTTTGGTATTCATACCTTTATGCTGAGCTTACAACATGAAGGTGCTCCAAGTTTCTCAATTATTTGCAGCTTTTAACATCTGAAGATTTATCTTGTAATCTGCCCCTTGCCTATTTAAAGCTACAAGAATCTAAATCCAGAATTTCCTTTCCATTAAGTTTATAGAAACTGTATAACATATACATTTCATTTATGTTATTTTATTCATATGCCATATTTTACTTTTTTTTTTTTTTTCTGTGAGATTTATTAATTGATGACTTGGGTTTTTTTCCTTCAAATTCATTCTTAGAATTCCTTTAGGTCACAGTTCATGTCTGGAAGCAACTGAGAGACAAATCTCTAAGCAGCAGAGAAAACATAGGTACATAGCAAATGGGTGTATGGCATCAAACAGATGTCTGGTGTATCTTCAGACCACTGTACTCCAGAAGGGAAGAGCGCTACTTCTCAGGTTTTTTGTTTGACATAAAGAAAATTCCCAGCTGATTTTAAACATGTGCAACATTAAAAACATCATGAGAATGATGGCAAATGCTGTAAGCATAGCAGAGCAGACTGCTTCCCTCCTGTGCCAAAAACAGAGAGCTGACCCCAGGGCTCTGCTGTGGTTTATTTAATCCCGAGAATAAGTTTATGGGCGATCAACCTTCCAGCAGTCCACAATTTTTGACAGCTACTATTTTCAGCAAATACACTCTATATTTTTTTGGTCACTGAGCATTTAATTCTTCTTAATATAAAGGCTCCAAATGTGTCAGAGAGCTAAGAGTTGATCAAAGGGACATGTGGCTGCAGGGGGCTGGGGGGGCGGGTGATGACAAATTTCAGCCTCAGTTGCTGTGGAGGACAATATGGAGCTCATACTTGAGATAAGATTCTCTGGGAGCAACACTGAATAGTCTGTTTGAGGTTCAGTGTAGCTTGGGCACACAGGAAATTAGTGACTGAGGTGCAACCAAGTGCTCAGAGCTGAGACTGTATCCAAATTCTCACTTGACAGTTGTAGGGAGTGGATAACCTGAGAAGCTGGTCCCAAAGGATTTCAGGTAACTCAGTATTCCTAGTCTTTTTCAGCTGTTCCAGCTAGGCCAATCTAACACGAACATGGCATCTCCAAAAAAGGGGAATCACTGGAATGATTACTTCTTCTAAAACTTATTAGCATAACTATAAAAATAGTAAAAAGTTCAAAAATGCAGTATCAGAAACTTGAAGAATTGATTGCATGTCTTACCACTACCAAAAATATTTTATTTGGAACATAAAGACATACCTAATACTACACTACCCAGAGACAGACTTCAAATGATGGGTGACAATTTTTTCCAAACCTAAAGCTGCAGGTGTTAATTATAAAAGTATAGACTTCTCTGTAAAACTTTAGGCTCTGCAATATAAAATACAAGACACATTCATAAAATCCATATTTTATTTTTATAAAATCCTTATAAATATAAAAGAATTGAGTCAACTCTACTGTTTACAATATGTAAGAAATATGTAAAACTTCTGTTTACAATATGAAGCAGTAGCCTTATTCCTTCCTCTTCTGAGACCAACAAATCCTTTGTATCCTTCCTGCCATTTGTAAACATTTTTTACACATTCTGTAGCTACTCACATAACAGGGAAACAAATGAGATCCAATCCTAAGTCTAAAAAAGAGAGTGAAAACATTCAACACACTCTCACTTTTCCTTTTAGTGCTGCTAAATGCCTTTTTTTTCTCCAGTGGTCTGTGTTCTTTTCTTCAGAAAATATTCAAAAGGCATTGGGAGGCCTTGCAGAATATAATAGCTATATTCTGGGGAGGAGAAAACAAAGAATTCCACATATCTTAAACTAAGATAAAATATCTATATCTCTATGTCTAATTTATTGTTCTAAAACAGCATATAAAGTCAGTCTTGACTGTGATTTCCCTTATATTTGTTCATCTAAGATCAAATGACCTACTGAGGTAAAAGGCAGAGCTTATAAAACCTATTTAAAAATGAATTCAAGGAGTGCAGTTATGGAAGACGAATTTGTCAGAAGTACTATAGATTGGTGTTAGTTGCTGCCAGTAAAACCTCTAGCTGCCTCTTTCAGGTATCACTCATTGGATTTCACTATGTAGTTCTCACAGTTTGAGAGTAAATCTAATTCTATCCTAAGCTATATCCTATGGCATGTTCATTAATAAAAATATTTGCTGTAAAAAACCCCAGTCGTATTGAGATAAAAAAAGCTCCTGAGAGAAACACTGGCTCAAGTCAACTCATAAAGACAGATGTTTCAACATATTGCTACTGAGCTTTTTATTAGATGTTGACTTGATTCCAATTTCTTTGGCTCTCTCTGACTATTCTCTTTGGTCTTGGAATATAAGTGCAACCACTGAAGTTCACCTATGACAGCAGAACATCAGCCAGCACCTTGACACATTCTGTACCTGGGCAGTACTGTGCTCCACAGCGAGATCAGAGGTAAGCAGCATGGGGTTCACACTGCAGCATGCAACGGTCCGGAACAACAGCTACCCCTGCCTCTTGATTTTAAGTGGCAAAAGTCTGATGCTACATGGATATAGTGTAATAATCCCTTATTCTTCACCAAGTGCAATAAACTGGATTTAGGCAAACAGCTCCCTCTGTGTCCTTCCACCTTGCAGTTTTCAGGTTTCAGGACAATTTCATCTTGTGTCATTGTGGAATTCAGGAATACCTAATCTACCTGACATGATCTTGCAATATACAAAATCCTTACTATTTGCTTTAAAAAAATCTATCAATCAGTACACGATTACTGCTATGAAGCAGCCAGAATAACAGAATTGTATCAATATCTGTTTTACTTAAATGCTGCTAGTCATTACTGCTTTTTGTAGGAAAGTAAGTATGGTATTGCAGAAGTCAGCAATGAAATTACATCATTCTTGAAATATTTTTTTCCTTGAAAAATGTAATGTGAGGTTTATACAGAAGCTAAAAGTTATGTTAGAGACCAAAAGACTAATCCCAGAACATCCTAAACTGTCAGTAATACCAAGGATCTTGTTCAGTAATTTGGTAGCAAAATCTGGACAACTTCACATTTCCCCACATTTGACCCTTATTATTAGCAGTGACCTCTGTGTATGCAATGCTGATGGCTCAGTGCTTCCAATGCACTCAAACGCAGTTAACAACAACGAACCTGTGATAACTCCAGACATACTTGCCTGTGAGAAATGACTGCATGAAAACCACTAATACCTATTGGTTAAAACAACTCACAAAAAAAAATTAAAACATCACAAAGTATATTAACTATTAAAATGAATTCAGCCTTTCGTTTCAGAGGGAGCCTACTCTGGATTTACTCCTTCAATTCCTTCTGACTTCTCGTCCCCTCAGAGGCTGGGGAGGCCGGAAGTTTCTCAGCAAGCAGCAGGCGGCCTCATCCTCAGCAGTGCTCAGGAGGCTGCGGAATTTGGCCAGCTGTAACCAAAAAAGACATAAGGTTCAGCAGAAAACCCTCATGTCAATATTCATGAAAAAGCATGTAAATAATAAAGACACTTGTCACTTTTTTACAACTGAAAGAACAGAACTGTATTTTATGAAGTCATGAGGGGAATGGCAATTTCACCATTTCTATCCTTGTAAATGAAAAAGGATGACTACTGAGAAAATATTCCAAAATACATGAAACTGTGCATAAAGATTACTTGTTTCCTTTATTCACACTTTGTCTTCCACAACCTGGTCTAAAGCAGGAGGAGTTTGTATCTTTTTAGTTGGATTTCATAGTTTGGAGATTCTGAAATGCTTTTTGCCAAAAGATAAGATTATGTTTCTTATCATACAAACATTCTGTGTATGTTTCCTTCTTCAAAGAGTATATTCACAATTAACCTGGAATTGCAGGTATGGTGCTACAGAAAGCTTCTGCAACTAGCCCTTACTCAAACCAGGAGAGATTCTAAATTCTTCCCTTGTGAAGCACTTATTCATAACTTCCAGGACAAGCACTTATTCATAACTCAGCATATGCTGATCTCAGCAGAAACCCCATCAGAGTTCCATGTCTAAACCTTGGGAAATATGAGGCTGATTTCTGACCTAAGTATAGAATTTTGTTTAATTTCTAATCTTTCCAGTAGTTACTATATACCACTTTACTTCCCTCCTAGGTTACCAAAAGCAGGACAGCTCAAAAACTATTCCATTATAATAGAGCATTTAATTGTAATGGCACATTGCATTGTAATGACATTAAGAGCAAAAAATGTCAGTGCTACCTTGCTTCACCCCATTCTGAAGCTGACGCTTGTAATACAGGGTCTTGCAAGTTTCTAAAAACTTAAAAGCTATTTTTAATTTCTTTCAACCTGAAAAGTGCAACAAAAAGTCTGTAGTAAACTCTAAATCCTTAAAGAAATAGAAACTAAATAAAATTAAATGGTAGAACAGTATCAGTCTCAGTGCTGACTGATCAATCACAATGGTGGACATTACTGAAAACAAACACTTTAGCTGCATGCGTGTTTATATTTGAAAATACTACTTTAATACATAAGATATAGCTAAAGTTTATGAAAAATTACTAATAAAGGATCACTACACTTTCCCACACCATGTTCCCTGAGCCTGTTACACGTGGCTGTTTATATACAGCATTTCACATTTTAGAATGTATTAATTACAGATTTACCCATTTATAGACAGAATTTCACATTTTAGAATGTATTTATTATAGATTTCCCCAAATAAGAAGCTTTTAACCTGAAAAATGGCTTGTCTTTGTAAAATTGGTACCTTAATACAAGTTTTCAATCCTAGATCCAAACACATTGCAGCGAGCCTTAGAAAGCCAGATTGAGGGGAGTGAGGAAGAGATACAGATGAGAAAAATACACACATTGAGCAAATAAATGACTTCAAATCAGTTGCAAACAGAAATTTGAGGTTTCCTAACAAACAACCCATTCAGAGAACTGTCTTAACATTTTTAGCAAAGACTGAAGTCGCCATTTCTGCTTAGTATGTGTTCTCTACTCAGAAATACTTTACACCTAAGAGGATCAACCCGCTGGGTGTCACTGTTGCAAGGTTAAGATACAGCATGAAGCTTTAACAAGAAATGTAAATAGACTCTTTTTATGTTGAATCACAGCTTTTCCAAAACAACCTAGCATAACCCAAACTTATTACAGTAGTATTCCCTTTTCACAATTCTAGTAAATTCATCAAGTTTATGTATTTAGAATGCAAGAAGACATTTACTATTTGTCTGCCAGATAAAAATGCCAAAGATGAGGTTTGAGCAGGATATGCAAATAATTAAATCAATTGGAATTCCAGAATTTCTAAGCATCACCAGAACTCTTTTTTAAGTTACCTATGGATTATTTTTGTTTATTAATTGTTAAAGTATGCAGATTCTTTTAAAAAAATGAATAATAAATAGCTGTTAGAGCAAGAAAGGCAACTAGTCAGAATAAATTTAATATACAAATTTTGACTTTTGAAAATCTTGTAAGGTCTGCAGTGCCAAGGTCTGCAGAAATCCATAATTTTGGGTGGCATTTACAATTTCCATTCTTACAGAAGCAACATTTCTATAGCAGTGAAAAATCCAAAGATACCTGCTCAGAACAAACACTTATGGGCTCTCTCAGAACAATCCAGATGACACTCTCAAGAAGAGGTGGAACAGTGAGAGAGCCAAAGTAAGTCCAGTAGTCCAGGGACTTGGGAAGCAGACAGCTGGGATCAAAGTTTGTGAATAATGCTTTTTTTCCCTGGAAAGGAATAAAAGAAATACCAGGGCAACATTATTTAAAAGCAAGAGGCCAAAGCAAATCATGCCAAAGGAGGTAGTGCTTGTTCCACTATCAAGTGGGCTGGCAGCATCTTGGGTGGTGACAGGAGGTCCTCATCACTGCCCTTCTGGCAAGGTCTTAGCTCAGTGACAGCTTTGCTGTGACTTTCCTTGATGCCAGCAGGACACCATGAAAGGTGTTAAGTTACAGATGACCATGAGATGGAAGTTGTGGGGAGAAGTCAGAAGATGTTAGACTTTCAACATGGTCTCTGTGGGGCGGGCAGAGTAACCCCACAGGTTACTGCCACTTGCTTCCCTCCCCACTCACTCCTCCCAGGAGTTACTTCTGCTTCTCCTTGTACTGGATACCAGGCCACAGATGTCTGTCTGAACAGCATGTTGAAAGTCTGGCTGATTTCTCTCGCACAAACAACAGGTTATTTCTCAATCTGTACCTCAGCAAAACAGATAAGGAAATTTTTCCCTCATCATTTTTACAACTTTCCATAAAGTATGCTTTTCCCCTTTTACTATCCTCATAGCAACAGATTTATCAGAGACTGGGTTCTGTGAGGAATTAGCTGTTTCCTCTGATCTTTTACTGTGTAAAAATTATTTTTTGTCTATTTTGTTTTCAACTTAAACAGAACGCACATAAACTGTCTCAAATCAAGTATCAATAACTAGGGATAAGGAAACATGAAGATGCAGGGAGTAGCAGCCAGGTTTCAAAAAATAAAAAACTCTACCAAAAAAAACAAAAACCAAAAAAAAAAAAAACCCAACCAAAAAACCCCCCAAAAAAAAAAAACCCCACCAAAAAAAAAAAAAACCCAACCAAAAAACCCCCCAAAAAAAAAAAACCCCCAAACAAAAGCAACCACCAATATTAGCTAGTATTCTTTTAGAAGCACTTGTTCACCTTGATTCTGATGGTGTCCAAGCGGTCAGTAATCTTGTTCAGTTGAGGGTTACATTCACCAATCTATTAACACCAAAGAAAAAAGAAACACTGGAGCTCCAGAGAAAAGCAACAAAAATTAATAAAAAAGCAAATGGCTGATAAAACTGTTTTATATAACTGAAGTGACTGAAAGATCTGATGAATTTAGTGAGTACAAGCCTGTGACTAGCTAGTCCTTAGAAATAATACTGGTCATAAAGAAGATTCTCTCTCTTGCTAATAGTATTCTGGCTACTCCTAGTAATTACTTCAGCTACAATAGTAATTTTTCACTACAGGGGAATAGAAACCATTTATCTCTCATGTTTTAATATGTGGGATATTAAAAGTTACAGATTAACATCAGAAATTTAAACTGCTTATAACATTGAAAACAATGTTCTTATGTGACAACATTCCAGACTGAATTTGTGTGCTAAGAAATCCAGTGACACCTCCTTTGAGTAATTGTAATGCAAATTGAAAAGACAGAATTACTGAATTGCTGAAGCAGTTCTCTGCAACTGCTGCATGGAATGGTTCTCTGACTGTGCCAGTACCAGTACTAGCTGTTCTCAGGAAGCTGTGTCAGCCACCAGAAACCACAGAATTTACCAAAGCCCTATCTTTTGCCATAGATTATGAGAATTCCCCATCTGCTTCTTCATACAGAATTCAGTGAAGCTGTTGCACAAATTTAATCTTAGAACAGGTGGAGAAGGCAAAAAAGGTATAAAATAATTATTAGGAAATTCTCCAGTTTCTGGCTTTGCATTATTTAATTATTATTATTTTCTAGAAGGAACAACCAGCTCAGCAACAAGCCATTAAACAACCATTTAAATCAAGCTGTCCCATTAAAGGAACATGCTAGTCAAGAACAAGTTACTGGGATCCAAATGGGGGCAGCTGAATTAAGTTCCACATCTAATGCTGTTTGGGCTTGCAGACTAGGCAAACTGAAGAGTTTGACTGTCTTGAAAAATCTATTGAACTGATATTTTTATTCTTAAAGGAAGCACAGCTTTCTATATTGGCAGCTAAACACTATGAAGGAAATAAGCATAAGATAACAAGTATGTCTTCAGCAATACTTACACAAACCATCACCGTTATCTCTTTGGGCTTATAATGCAGATTTATTATGAGGGCTGAAGCATTCTCTTCTTACCTTCAGAAATACAGCCATGACTGCTAGTCCATCTGACTGACAAGCTGCCTCAACAAAACTGGAATACTTCTCTGCATTCCAATGGACCACATGAAGCTGAAAAGCAAGAGACACAGACAGCATCAACTCTCACTGAACTCAAGTAATGGCAAATAAATATTATAACTCTACTGGGTTTGACACTCTATTTCACTCTTTTGTATGCAGAATCACTCAGTGTTTTAAATGCAGATATTTCATGAAATCAGTAAATATGTAGTTGACACAAATGGCAAAAGCATTTCCAGTGGCTAAGATTATTAAAAATTTAACAGCAATCGGCATACAAACAGTGCCTGTCAAATTGCTGTTGGGTCTCCAGATTTTGAACTGCGAAGTTAAGACAAAAAAGCCAACGGTTATATAACTAGAGGTTTAAAATCCATTAGTACAGCTGATTTTGAAAAGTGATTTGAATTCATAAGGATGTCATTTGTATTTTACTCCTCTTTTTCTTTAATCAAGCTTTCAACAACATTAATCATCCACATAAATAGCAGAAAACAGGCAAATACACATTAAACTTGCACTGACCCCTTTTCCCTTGTTTAGCTTAAGGGAACATCACCATTTCATTTTTGACTCTTTTCAAATGTTATTTTCTATGACTACCAGTAGTGACACCCTTACGAGCAGCTTGATTATTTCAGGTTTGAGTATCTGCATTTCCAACATGCATTATTCTGGAAGCGTCCTGTCATATTTGCTTAAGAAGCTTAAAGACGCTACCCAGCCAGGAGGGAAGAGGAAAAGCCTGTGATGTCTATTTCCATGCCACTTAAGTACCTCCTGTTAAATTAGGTTTCCTAATTCCTGACCACACTTCATGAGGGGAGCTCCTGGTTTCCAAGAAGTTCCAGGTTGTTCCAGCCTTGAGCAATGGTCTGACTGCCAGACTGGAGAGAGCACACTCACACAGCACTTAACTCTAACTACTTCACAAACATTAATTACTTTCACAAATCCTCAATGGATTAGTAAATCTTATTACACATAATTTTTAGATAAAGATGCTCAGAAGCAGGACGTGAGATTGGCTTTTCTAAAACTGGTGACCATCTTTTCAGATTTTGAACTCCAAGAATGCTGAAAAACAACTCGTTGAGTGACTTAAACTGGGATGAACCCATGAAAAAAAAGGCCTCCTTTTGGAATACAGCACCTATCGGACAAGTAAAGTAAGAACAATTTAGGAAAGCTGAAACTGCTTTAAAGGATTTCTACGTGAAGCAACATAGCTGCATGGCTGAAATAGTGTTCTAGAAGTATGAAGATTTTTATTCTAAATATCAATCCTTCCTTAACCTCTATAATTTTCAATTTTCCATATGTAAAAATGGAACTCTTACTTGGTCTTACTTGACATCAATATTTTAAGCATTTGGGCTCTAAAGTGCTGAAACATTACTTGCAGCAAGTAAGGAATCCCAGTGTCGTCAATATTAATACATGTACAACCACAATGACATGCATGCTGTCTCACAGCTTTAGAAATCCTTGAAGGAAAGTTGCTAAGAATATTATGCACTAAACCAGGAGAACATAGTCCACTAAACCTTTCTCAAGTGCATTAATATCCTGGGGTTCATAGTGTCTGCACTGCTCTCTATTACAAATTCACATAACCTATATTGAAGAACTTTTAAACAATTACATTTTTACATACACAAAAAGGAAACAGATACTCGCAGTCAAAAATTACCTTTATTGTGGATTTGGGGAAAAAAAAAACCACCATCAAAAACAACCCAACAAAGAACAAAAAGGAAAATTCCCACAGCTACTAAAAGTCCACTCCCACTCCCCCACAGCTTTGCCAAAAATCCCCCAGAAGGTAACCCTCCAAAAACCAGAGCCCCCAAACAGAGTGTGAAACACTTTTGGGTACAGACCCGTTCTCAATGGCTTGTGACTTCTCTAAGGAATATATCCTGTCTTACCACCGCGGTGTCACTGCAGCTTGTGAAGAGACCTTGATCAGGCCGTATGTTGTCACAGAGAATGCAGCCATGGATTCCTTCTGCTTCCTGGAGGGCTTAAGGGCCAAACCTTGCAGTCTTCTTTACCTGTACGTTAATTCTTTCTTCAATTCAGCTGATGCTTTTTCTTCAAAACTTGCACATCTTCCTTACAAAGGTGAGCACTGAAAACATTTTCATGTCTCCTTCTGAGGCATTTTCTTTTGTGTGAACAATTTTCAGAAGCCTTGGTTTTAATTCTGAGTTTCTTATCCCAAAGCCAAAGTGACATCTAGAGAGCTTCTTGTGGAGAGTTACCCAACCAACAGGTAACAGAAAGGCTTTTAGACTGGCTAGAAATTCAGAGATATTTTCTCCTTCCATTTGGTTTCTTAGATGGGAAACATATTTTCTCAGCTAGAAATTTGGGTTTGGTACTTAATGGTTTTAAAGCACCTCTATTAATTCTTTATATTCCATCTCACCTGGTTCCTGTGGAAAACATAAGCCTTTAAACACTGCAAATGTCACTTTCCCCCATTAGAGTTAGAAAACCAATCTTTTTTCCTCATCAGTATCTCTTATAGCATTTCCAGTAAAATCTGATCACACCACAGTGCATACATTACATCTTTTTCTTCTGTAGTATTATGCTTTTTATTTGTCCATTTATTTTTACACTTTTTACTTCTTTTAACCCCAGAAAAGTCTGACACTGTCTGAATCATGTGTTTTTAAAGATCTCAATCTCCTGAAAATATTCCATGTTACTTCTATTTGCAAAGAGGAATCTCATACTGAGAACTTCTTCCTGCAGATTATTCAAATACACCAAAGGAGACAGAGCAGGAGTGAATGCTCTGTGCCAGAGCAGATGGTGGACTTCTCCCTTTGGCACACCACCTCCACTGAAGCACAGTACCCCACAGACAGCAGCCACCCCACAGATATTAAACCATGGTTCTCAAAGTCATAACCACCACATTGCTAAGTGCATCACAAAATGCAACGTTCCTAAGTCTTGCACAAACTTTACACTACATAGGCCCTAAATCCAACAATTCTGTGGTTTGCCATTGAAGATGACTTTGAAAATGTTCTCCAAGGAAGAAACAATGAAAGTTTAAAATAACTCTTGAACACTATGTCTTGCTCTTATCAAGCTCTTGTCTTCTGTACTCCTTTTTTAATCCTCTGCAAAGCTTTCAAAGAGGTTCTCCTTTGAGAAAGGACCCAACATGCAACACTTCAGGAAGACCACTTGCCTTTCAATAAAATAAGGGGAAGATGAAAAGCAGGAAGAGGAAGGGCAGCATTATTCTTGCAATGGAAAACTAGTCACAAGCTTAGAGGTACAGATGACTCCATGAAAAGCCTTACCTCTGCTGCATACTTCATCCCATCCACCGTGTGCTCAGAGCCAGCTTCATCATTGGATCCCCAGTGGAAGTGAATCTGGCGCAGCCTGTAGGTCCCGCTGAGTGGCCCCCCCGTCAGCACTGGAAACCCAAGCAGAGGAAAAGGCTTCACTGAGAGAACGGGAGTCTCTATCAACCATCTTCTAACCTCACACCAGACTTCAGTCTTCCGATACTCCTCTGCTCCTGCTCACAAGTTGTCTCAGACGGCTTTCCATTTCTTGGAAGTACTACAGAAACCCTAACCTGTCGAGGATATGACTATGAAATTTGCATTTATGGGCAGATTAGTGGGTTATGACCCACTAAAGGGGGTTTATTTTTTTTTATGCTGTTTATTATTTTTATGCTGTTATTGTCAAGGTTGGATATTTCTCAGAGAATGGGAAAATACTTCTATTTTTCAACACTCAAGAGTTTCCTCTCTTGATTATAGTCAAAAGAATCACTAAGAAATTAAGCTCAAAATACAGGTTTTATGAATAAGGAGCATGATCATAAAAATGTAATGTCAGCAGAATTTTTTTCATCTTTGAAATTTGGTGGAAAATAGGAGGAGCTTAAATTTTCAGGGCTCTTTCCTTCATTTGCAACTAGATCCAGTTATATCAGATTGAAGTCTGAGGAAAAGGAGCTTATATTAACATAAATAAAATTAAGCCAATGTTACTTGTGCATTGTACAACTCAATATTACTGACAATTAGCCAGGGTTGGAAAGCACGTCCTATGAGGAGCAGCTATGTACTTCGGGCTTTTCTAGTTTGGAGAAAAGGAGGCTGAGGGGTGTCCTCACTGCTCTCTACTTCTGCGGAGGCAAAGCAGAGAGGGAGATGCAGGTCTCTTGTCTCAAGTATCCAGTGACAGGACTCGTGGGTAAGGCTCAAAGCTGTTCCAGGGAAGATTTAAACTGGATGCTAGGAAGCATTTCTTTAACATGATGGTGGTCAAACATTGGAACAAGCTTCTTAAAAAGGCTGTCAAAGCCCCAGGCTTATCAGAGTTTAAGAGGCATTTGGACAATGCCCTTTAACAACATCCTTTAACTTTTGGTTAGCCCTGAACTGCTCAGGCAGTTGGACAAGATGATTACTGCAGGTCCCTTCCAACTGAAAGAGGCTACTCTATTCTTTTCTACTCTATACTGTTCTTTCTATTTCTATTCTGCTCTAATTCTATTCAAACTAACATGCATATGGGTGGGCTTTTCATTATTTTTCTTTTGCAAGCACTCATAATTTTCTTGTCAGACTTAGAATCAAAATATCTCTTTACAGAGCCTGGAATGTGAATTACACTCAGAGAGATTCCTTATTCACAGCTAAACAAATCACTCCACTCTCCCAGCTCTGTATGTTCTCTGAGTGTTTTGGAATCAGTCTGGAATAGTTTACTGGCTCATTACAGAAATTTTAAGGGGAAATGAGGGGAGATTTAGCCAGATGTTTTTTAAATTAAGAGCAGTAGGGAGGACAATAGCAATTTTTTCACTCTTCTAGGTTCAGTGCAAAACCTACACTTTCTTAGGAACAAAATACACCAAATAAAGATGAAAGAAGAATTTTTATGTTGCCTATTTGCTAACACAAGTAGCTTGGATAATGAAAAATAACTGAGACTGTTTATTCTGGGGAAAAATATTTAACTTCCTTAAAGCTTCAACTCAAAAAACATGCATTTACACCGCCTATAAAATTAGCAAATAGAGGAGATGGGGGTCAGTGGCTCTTTTAAATTCTTTCTTTTAAGGACTGTAAACTTCGATGCAAATGATCCTAGAAAAGTGTAAAGATCAGTGTTCTAACTGGCTGAGGAAAAACTATTATGTAGAAATGCACCAACATGAAATACTTATGCTGAAAAATGTGGAAAGTGGCCTGTTGATGTATTTGTGCCACATCACACAGTGATGGCAAAACCATTTCATTCCAACAGTAATTAAGGAAGAGGGTAGTCAGAAGTTTTTAAGGCAAATATCAGTATCTTGAATTTTGAAAAATATTGGAAGAAGATCAGTAGAGCAATTTCAAAGAATGGAGCTAATATGGTACCAAAGAGCATAAACAGACTTACACAAACAGTTACAGACTTGACAGCCCAGTTCCAGTGTTGACCAAAGTGAGGAAATAGTTCATATGGGAGTCAGTTAATAATGCGTTAGAATGGTATGGTATTAGCATGGTATTTAGTAAAAATTAATTTGATTTTTTTCATGAAACCAACACATTGCAGGAGTTCTTACTTCACAGAGGTGCCCCAGAAGCCAAATTTGGGCCCTAGAAAATTCAGTATTTTTTGAGCAATGACCTGAAAGAAAACAAAAACAGTACTGATAAAGTTTGTCAGTGACAAATATTAGGGAAAATAGTGAATTACTCTATTCATGTTTGTGAACTGAAGAATCTGGTCCATGCATAGATGACATGGCGTCTACTGAAGGAGACTGGGTATTCCATCTGTTAATTATCTGATCAACATCTCTCAGTGCTTTGCCATTATATGAACTATATCCTTGGAGATATGGCCTGGGGAAAGCAGTAAGAGGAGGATTGCATTACCATTGCTTTGGTACCAGGGGAAGCCTAGAGAAACACTGCTCAGGCCCTGTCACTTCAAGAAAGGAGTAAAGAGAGTGGAAGAAGTTCTTGGTGTATTCACATTCATTAACTTTTTTCTTTTAAACTGTGAGGGTAATTAACAATTAGAACAACTTACCAAAGGCTGTGGTAGGTTCAGCATCGCTGGAAAATTTGAAATCAAGATTGTATATTTTTCTAAGAGATGTGCTTTAGTTCACCAGCATCTACTAGGCTCGAAGCAGAGATTAATTCTGGGAAGTTCCACGGCATCTGACATAAGGTCAGACTGATCACTGATGGTCAGCTGGTGGCTTTCAGGCAACATCCAATGTTGATAGAAAGTTTAAAACTAAGACTGTTCAGGAAACAAAAACATGACGATGTCTCCATCTATGTCTCTCCCTCTTGCCACTATGAGCTAATAAGTCCTCAGGACTAAGGGGTCATCAAAAATTAGTCTCTCTCTGGCTTTGATGCTTGTGAAAGCATCATATGGTCTTGAATCCTCAGCTAAGCCTCACACAGCCACAAAATTATTTTATTGCTTGAAGATTCTGCACTCTTACAGCTTGAAGAAGAGTCGTGCTGACTTGCCCAAAATCCAAGAGAAGGTTTCAAAGATGAAGGCAGTAACATTACAAAGACTATGATACACCACAGAACTTCTAAATAAGAATTATTATTTGCAAAAAAGGAAGCTATACACCCCTGGAAAAGACTTGGGCAATAATACTTTTCAGAGAAGATAAGGGTTTACTTGGGATCTATTTCACTTGCTCTGTATCGGCTCTTACTTGTCATAAGAAGTCCGAGTATAGGGGAAAAATATATAACCAAACCTGAAGCTAAATTCAGTTAAGAGCTTTGAGCGAATCGGTTGGAATGAACCTGTAATGAGACACAAAGGATTCATCTGCAGTGAGAGAGAGAGAGCAGCATTTGAAAAATTGTAAACAACACTGTTCAAACAGAGGGTTGGCACTATCCAGCTGGTGGGGGTGGATCAAACCACTCCTGTAAGTAGGGAATCCCAACACTTGCTGAGAAACACAACCTCGAACTTGTGTCCAAATATGTTCCCACACTGCATCATGCTGAAAGACAGGGAAAAAGGAATCTCTCATCCAGAGGAGCAAAGCCTTACTGTTAATAAGGAGTTCATATCCAGCAGTGAGATGTGCCCAGGCTGTAGGCATTCTATTTAGGAATTGGTGGAGGAAGTTACAGTGCAAGACTAAAGGAACAAACCTGATTTGTTGACGGTGTCATCAAACTCCACACTGGTGGAGTGCCCGTTGTTAAGGATGATTTTAGCAGAAGCTGGATCATAACTGGGATTTAGAGGACGAAGGGAGGGATCATACTTGGTTTCCTCAGTTTTGATGTCGATGGGTGACTGACGGTCTCCATTAGCGACAGGAAAAACCTCCTTCCAGTGGGCAGGCCCTGCAACGCATTGGAGGAGAAGTCTAAATTGCTGACAGCACCCTCATTCTTATGAAAGAAAACTCTACTTGAATTTTCCTTATCTGCATCTTTTAAGTTCAAAAAAGATGCATCAGGAAAACACAGATCAAAACATTCAGCTACTTTTGCTGCAAAATATTGCAATAACAGTTCTCTGGACCCCTTCATGTACCCAGTAAGACTAAGCTATGCACAAGACACATAAAACAAATGATCATTCAAATCAGGCATCCTGTATCCAACAGGCACTATGTCCCAATAAATTTCTGACATGCCATTTTTGCCTAATATCATGTCTCATTGTGTCTTTAAGGATTACCTCTTTTCTATGCAAATCCCTGTATTAAGAACTTTTTATGCCTTATTCATTTGCTGCAAAAGACCTGAGAACACATCTTCCACTGATCACTGTGAATGAGATGGGGAGATGTCAAAAAAGGTGACTGGTGATGTCAGAAAATGCTGAGTGGTTCCTGGAGCCTGATGGCAGTGCCTGGAACCTAAACACTGCTGCACCTCTGATCACCTCCTCCCAGCCACCAACTGTGCACACCAGCTGTCACAAGGAAGAGAGACTGTCACCCGTTAATCATGAAGTGTCCATGCACACAGGTACACACATACACATGCTAGTGTAGCACTGACAAAATCAAAGAACAGGAACACTCAGGACAGTGGTGCCTGTGTGAGGTTTGTATTTCCACTGCCTTCAGCTGATGAGCCAGACACAGATGCAGTGCCATTGACCCAGCTTAGGTATAAATTATAGGACTAAAGAAGCTGTTAATCAATACTAGTCATCTCCACCTTCCTCTGTCCAAGCAAGCTAAGCCAAATGTCACCTGAAAAACTAATAAATCAATAATATGGATATGAGAAAATAGCAAGTAACATCCTAAAACAGTAAGAAAAGCTTCACTGATGTGTGAGTTATCTGTTGTTACCTACTAAACATCAGAGAGTTCCCAATAATTCATAATAAGAGTATATGTGCCATTGTTTAACCATATTTGAATAAGAGGGTAAAGAAAAATATGAACAGTAAGTTGCCTGGGGAATATATTCTACAAAGACAGAAAACATTCCTTAGTATGGAAAGGAGGAGAGAGCAAGGGGAAAGAAGAAAGGAAAAAGAGAAAGGTGAAAGTCTTCAGGGCAAACGATCTTTCAGTATTAAGAAGAACACTGAACTTGTTTCTCCTCCAGGCTTCTAATGGGTAAAAAGCATAATAAATCAATTGAGAGACTGGATATAAGAAATACTTAATATGAGCATCAAAACCTGGTCAAATAAAATCTGCACCACTGGAAATCCTCATAACTAACTCCTTACACTGAAGATAACTGACCTCAGTGCAAAAACTGGGTTTGGGTCTTTCTGGATGGCTTAGCGCTTAAATAAAAATTATGACAAAAAAGGGTGAAAACGTATGATGCAGTGGTTAATAGCCTGACATCAAAAGCTGTTAGATATTTTTCTTTCCTCTACTTCAATAGAAGTGAACACAGCTCAGAAACTCACAGGTGCTAAAAGCACCCATGCACCCCAGCAGTAAATCAGGGAGGAAGGGCCCACAGTGCAGGGGGCTGCAGCTTGCACAGCACCTGGGCAGAGAATGATTCTTCTGTGAGCAGCACTGAAAAACAGAAGTGGGAAAAACTTGTAAAGAATAGCCTAAGACTTAAGCCTCAGAACAAAGATGAAAGCCCTCAGTCTTAATTTTTAAAAAAGTACTTTTGTTAGTTACTTCATTAACTAAACTCAGTAAAGAAATAGATTCTAAGGCAGAAGATAAAAATCCTATTGGTTTGAAACATAAAATTGTTTGAACGTAATTCCTCTCATGAATGGTAATCAAAGCTATTCAATATTCTAACTACATACAGTTTAGAATATAATTTTAATTGTGTTTAGATCCTAATACCCTATAGTTAGGGATGCAACACAAAATTTTATTTGTAAGAAGCCCCACTCCATAATTTATACCTCACTACCGTGGTTTGGAACTCCTAGAAAAAGTTTATTGCTACTTAATTTTAATAATTCTAACACTCCTTAACTGAGAAAAGCCAAAAATATATTTATGTGCTTAACTACTTGGTCTCCTATTGCTCTGTCCCAGAAATATCTATAGTTATCTGAACTAAATAATATGGATGACTTGCATTAAAAAATAATACAAAGTTGCCAAAAAGAGGATCCAAGGCTGTGATTCTGTCACTACCTAATTATTTAACAGTAATATTCAGTTCTAAAATGACATTATTGCTGGCTTGGCACTTGTTCTTGGCTCAGATGACCAAAATACTGGTTTGCTATGGTGATTAAACATCTACCACTAACCAAACTACCAGACATCTGACCTTTCAAAATATACAGGAAAGTATCAAGAATCTTCAACTCATTTTATACCACTAGGTTATATCAACAGGTATTCCTTACTAGGCAATCTACCAGCAATCTAGTACAATTATCATGCTTTTGTCACTCCAGGAAAACTGTGACTCAATTCATTTCTACAGACCACAGCCCAATGCAAACTTTGTGTATGACTGTTGTAAAAAAAAGTCATTACTGTTGAAAGAGATACTCAAATGCAAGTCATAGAATCAGATTTAAGCCAGCTGTGTCCCCAGAAGAAATTGAAAATTTCTTCCGAATTAGATGCCTCCATATTAAAATAATGTACACTTCAGTTTTGTAAATATGCACTTTCAGACACACCTAGGGACTATAACTCATTAATTCACCTCCTTTCATTTTCTTCCTTTACTGAATGAAAGTGATTAATATAGCCATTTTTGAACTTATGAAAGCCTCTTCTGCTGTTGGGAAAACGTTCTGTTGCTAGAGGCAATTTTCTAGTAGCTCTTAACAATCAAAGCTATTGTGACTGAGATTTATGACAAAAAACTGAACCATCTGCTCTGAAGATTTCTTGCCTTTATTTTGGACATAGCATTACCACAGGCAATGAATTGTCTGACACTTTTAGGTCAGACAATCGCTGCACGTACCACTCACCAGCATTGCACACAGCCAGTTCATGAAACAGGTCTCACAGTGAAGGCAGTTAGGAATTTGGCAGGAAAGAGAACTCACTATAGCACCTCACAGTGTTGCATTTTGATCCAGCTGAAGCTAAAGATTACAAGTTTCATCAACAGAACAACTTGAGACAAGCCCAGTGAAGACACTAGAGGATACTGTTGAATTCCAGTGAGCTTCTATATGTGCATAAATGGAGCACGTACAGGTGAAAAAGGCGTTTGGGTTTGTGTTTTTTTCACAGTCTGTTATTATGTATAGAAAGTTCATTATTTTAGTATGGTCTGACCTTGACAGGATCACATCCTCATTTATTTCTAAAGATAATCCATTGCCCAGTTTGTCAATCACAGAGTGCTTAAATTTATAAATTTAGGTTTGCAAGTAATTTGATTGCATATTAGGTTACAGTAAGATGAGCTCAAACAAAAGCAATTAAAATTTATTATGGGTAAAATTAAGCACTTTTAAAAAAAGATATTGAAATAATGTAATTATTCTCAGAAAGAAACAATGTATAAGGAGCTAGGGCTCAACTAAAGTATCTTAAAGGTCTTTTGCAATCTAAATGATTCTATGAATTAATATCCCCTTTATTTACAAAATGCCTCAGCATTACTGTAGTAACTAGATAAAGAGAGTTTTTTGCTGTAACAAAAAAAAAAAAAATTTGAATAATTCCCATATATTTAATTAAACAAATAGTAAACTGAAGTAAATTGATTTCCCACTGTGGTCCCTTCCAACCTTACTCATTCTTTGATTTGCCTTTTAATGAAAGCAATTCCCTGTAAAAGAAAAAGGACTCAAGGAGCAAGAACATTCCCATCCTGACAGGAACCTTGAGCAACAGTGAAAAGCATGCATGATGCCACACTGAAGCCAGTCTTCAAGATTTCAGTATTATGCCTCTACAGATAAGCAACACCAGAACTGTGAGGTAAGAAAAGTGGCAAGAAAGCAAAGGCCAAGGTTTTCACAAAAATAAAATAATGTCTTCATGCATTTCAGAAATAGGTGCACCAAAGTAACCGAGAACTTCTGCATCAGGTGTGTGTGACACTGGTAGCTGGGAGGCTGCAGGTGTGGCTTCTGTGAGAAGCTGCTGAAGCTTTCCCCATGTCCAATAGAGCCAGTGCCAGCTGGCTCCAGGATGGACCCACTGCTGGACAAGGCTGGGCCCATCAGGGACAGTGCTAGCACCTCTGGGTAACAGATTTAAGAAGGGGGAAAATTTACTGTGCAACAGCAACCAAAAGAGAGGAGTGAGACTATGGGAAAGAAACATCTCTGCAGACACCAAGAGGAAGGGGAGGACATGGTCCCAGAGCCTGAGCAGAGATTCCCTGCACCACAGTGAAGACCATGGTGAGGCAGCTGTGCCCTGTATGGAGGTCCACAGTGAAGCAGAGATCCACCTGCAGCCCATGGAGGGTCCCAACTGGAGAAGGTGGATGTGTCTTGAAGGAAGTTATGACCTCAAGGACAGCCTACACTGGAACAGGCTCCTGGCAGGACGCCATAGGAAGCCCAAGCTGGAGCAGGTTTGTTGGCAGGACTTCGGGCCCCCTGGAGAATCCACGCTGGAGCAGTTTGTGAAAAACTACAACCTGTGGGAAGCCCTCACACTGGAGAAATTCATGGAAGGCTGTTTCCATGGGAGGGACCTCATGCTGGAGCAGGGGCAGAGTGTGAGTTGTCCTGCCACTGAAGAGAAGGGAGAGGCACAGTCCACATGTGATGAACTGACCACAGCTGGTGCAGGAGAGAACATAGAGAAAATCAGGAGTGAAGTTGGGCCTGAGGTAAAGGGAGAGTTGGAGGGAAGGTGTTTTAAAGATTTTATTTTCTCATTACCTTACTCTGATTTGGTAAGCAACAAATAAAACTAATTTCCTCAAGCCAAGTCTGTTTTGCCTAGGAAAACAACTGGAGAGTGATCTCCCTCTGTCCTCATCTTAACCCCTGAGCCTTTCAGTCTATTTTTTCTCCCCTGTTCAGCTGAGGAGGGGAGTGATACAGTGGCTTTGGTGGGCACCTTGTGTCCAGTCAGGGTCAATCCCCAAATCTTTTAATTCTTTACCTAACAGTTAGCCCATGTCCTTAAATACAGAAATTCCACATATGCAGATATTTATGTTTTAATATTGGCCAGTTTACTTTATGCACATAATGATTTATGTTGTGACTATTACAAGTAGCAATTGCAGAACTCAGAGTGAACACAGATGTCTTTTCAACTCTTTAGGCAGTCAACCATACTATATACCTGCACCACATTTCATTAATTCCATTTATTTCTGTCTGAATTGCAAAAGGTAATCTTAGTTTCAGAGAAACTATTTTCAGGGCCATGAAGGCAAACAAAATTGTTCAAGAATCAGAGCAATTTCCTTCACCTGCTACTCAATCAAACAATAATAACAAGCAGAATCAGTAAAATAAATGCAGTATAAGAGAAAAAGATGAGAAATAAAACTGATGCTAGGGAAGAGCACTGAAGTGTTCGATACCCATGCCTCCCTCCTCTCACCTCCTGTGAAAGGTGTGGTGAAGGGGATGGACTGATGAGGAACTATCCATCCCACAGCTGCTGTGGGGCTCCAAGAAAGAAGTGAAAGACAGACTCCACCTCAAATATGTTGCCAGGCAGGCAGTAAATAGAGTTTTATAGGAGAGACAGGGCCTCCAGCGAGGTCCAGGGCCACCCCAGTAGACATTCTGGTGGCCTCCCCTCTCTATAGGTTGAGAAGAGCAAACAAGAAGAGATAGGATAAGGAAGAGAAAGTGGGCTTCTTATCTGGGCAGTGCAGGTGAAGCTCAAAGCATAGAAACATATGGAGAAAAAAATTTGAAAAACAAGACTCATTTACGTCTTCAGGGGAGGGGTAGGGTAGACTGCACAACAGCAGATAACACACCCAATCATTGCAACATCCCTGTGATCCACCACCACCCAGTTTTTCAGGAAAAGTACATCCATCCAGAAAAGATGGAACAAGAGGGCCAGGAAGGAAAGGTAGTACTTGCACAAACAGTATTCCAAAGTCTAAGTAATAATATACACAAAGCATATTCTTATAGGCATTAGTATATGCAAATATATAGCTGTCTCCTTTTACTGTCACAGCATTTCGTTGCTTTGTGTACAGACAATATAAGATATTCCATCAGAGTTGAGCCTACAATTTACAAAAACACTTTTATTTCTACTTGCATGACTTGTGAGACCGTCTGCACACTGGAGCAGCGTTTGCATGACTGAAGATGCAAAACAGAGCCAAGTCTTTAAGCCTGCTGATCAGCCCATCTTGGGACTTCAAAGACTGACAAGATGAAGGAAACCACTGAACAACTAAAATCCAAAAGCATCTCCTCTTAGGTGCATAGTTATACATTTAAATAACCCAGTCAAGTAATTAGGATTTCCCACTGTGTAGAAGCAGAACAGAGCTGGAATCAGAGAAGCACTGCTGGTACAGCAGTTCCGATCGGTGCAGCTGTCAGCCACGTACTCGATCTATGCACGCAACTGTTCAGCTAAAGGAGCGAACGAAATCCCAGCGGGAACGCGGCAGACCCGACCCGGAGCCAAGCCCGGCCAGGCTCTGCAGGCGATGCCGCAGGCACGGACACCTCTCAGCCGCCTGCCTTGCAGAATGCCGAGACAAAAATCGGCCCGCTCTCACGCTGCAAAGCATTTCAGCTCACCCAGCCCTCCTGAGGGCGCGGCAGCTGCCGAGCCCAGCGGCGGGAAGTGCCCGCGGGACCCCGCTGGCCGCCCCGACGGCCCCGGCCGCTGTTCCCTACCGTTGTGCTCGTCGTATCCCCAGTGCAGCATGGCTCTGCTCTCCTGCCGGCACGGGACGGCACGGGACGGGACGGGACGGGACAGGACAGGACAGGACGGGCTGGGATGGGATAGGACGGGCTGGGGCGGGAGAGGCGGCTGCGCCCGATTTGAAGGCGACGGGCGGCGACGCCCCGATCCTCGGGCGCTGATAAGGAGACCTGCAGCGCTCCGGCCTCCTGGCCCGTCCGTGCCTGTTGTCGCCCCAAGCCCTTCGTCACCCAGGCTCTCCCCAGCCTCCCCCCTGCACCGTCGGGGTGGCCCGGGGGACGCAGTCCCATCCCTAAAGAGCCCGCTCCAACAGAGGGAAGGTGGCTCCACCAGCCCCCGTCCCGCCAGAGCACGAGTCGTGCGGCAGTGCCCATTCCTGGGGTCACCCGCCACTCCCGAAAGTAAAGCCAAGTCCGCACCGCTGCATCCCGTCCCGTTTTTCTCCCAGGGGTGTAAACCCAATTCCCTCTGGAATAAGCCGCAGGAAGATTTCACGTTTTCCCAAGCGGGGCCGTGAGGCAGAAGGGTGTCCCACCACCAACTGGGAATTTATCCAAGCTCCGCGTGTGCCGGGGGCTGCCCGTGAGCAGGTGCTTGTGGCAACGCGGAGCTTTGGACTCGGCGCTTGGGCTGCGGGCGCGCGCCAAGGAGCTCTCAGCCTTCCCGTGCTGAAAAAGCTGGCTGCGAAGGCGCAGGAGAGGCAAGCAGGGCCGGTACCAAGGCTGACGCCGGGACGGGACCGGACCGAGAAGGGACAGGGACAGGGACAGGGACAGCGCCACTCCGCCTGTCCCGTTCCCCGCTGCGGCTCCACAGCGCCCACCCGAGGCTGCGCACGCCCCCTGGCGGCCCCGCGCGGCGCTGTGGGCCATTGGCGGCTCCCGCGTCACACCCCTGTGTGACGTCACCCGTCCGCGCGCCGCCACCGCCGCCGCCATGGGCAAGAGCCGCGGCGGGGCCGCCAAGGCCGGCAGCGTGTTCCGCATCGCCCGCAGCGGCGTCCTCAGGGCCAAGGCCAAGGGCAAGGCGCGGCCCGTCACCTCCGGGCTGAAGCAGGTGAGTGCTGCGGCGGGAGGAGACGCTGGCTGGGCTGCGGCAGCGCCCCACCACGGGGAGGGCCCCGGCCCTGCTGCAGCGCCCGCGGGAGGCCTCGGCCCGGCGGGGTTTCCTCCTTTCCGAGCGCGGCGCAGCAAGCGCTCGGAAGTGATTAAATCGAGCTGGTTTAGGGGCAGTGTGCGTCCGGCACCAAACGGCAAAGTACACGGTTTTCACCCGAAAATTAGGTTTGTATGTGGAAAAACTGTGTGTATTATCTGAAAAAGGAGAAGCACAAGAAGTTCATGTGACTGATCTGCAGGCATATGCCACAGAAAGCATCCGCTGTGCTTGGGAGGTGTCGTTTGGGAAGTGTCTGGTGGTATCTCGCCTTGCCCTCGGGAATGCGATGCTAAAGGGCGCATCAGCAGTTCAGCGAGTTCGCGTTCACCGGGCTGCATTCACAGCGTCGCTGAGGGTGTAATTCAGGGCAGAGTTTAACAAAATGCTTTGGTCCAAACCACTGGGTATAGTTAGTACAACTAACAAGGGGAAGTCCTGCTCCTTTCCATCACGTTCCTGGTCTCAGGAAGGGAGCCTTGCCAGACTCTGGGCTATATTCCCACAGCTCTCCTTGGTGCTGGCTCAGGAATTCTACGCCCACTAGGTGACTCAACTTGCTAAATCAGCAGCAAAAGCCATTAAAAATATATTTTGCATTTTTATGTGCTGGGTTGATGAGTTGAACAAACTTAATTATGAATGAATGAATGCAGAGAGAAGCTTTTTGGTGGGGATGAACTAGAAAGGATGGAGCCTTTACTGATCCAGTAGCTGTTTATTTGCCTCAGCTGTCAAGTAGAACTGTCAGTGAGATGCAGTGAACAGAGCTAGGAGTGTGCACTGCTGGATGTTTTGCTCTTAATTCTTCTCTGCCCCTTTTTTGCCCCTTACATGGGCTGTGATGCTCTGTAGATGCTTCTGTGAGCCAGTTTAACATACTAAAGCAATAGAAAAACAAAGAAGCAAAAATAATGTTGTTATTTTCATGTCTGTAGAAGAGCACAGCCCAGAGGAGGGAGAGAGTGGGTCATGGAGCAGGGAGCAGTGCACGGGAAGAGGGATGGGGGTGATCTAAGCAAGAATTTTCCTGTAGTGAGCAGTGAGTATCTTCTCAAACCTTGCCTCCAGCCTGAGAGGTGTGTGTTCTGCAAGAGTTCAGCTGTCCCTTTAGAAAAGCATCTGGTAATAAAAGTAAAAAAGTATTAAGTAAATAATAATAAGTAAAAAAAGTAAATAAAAGTAATAAAAACAGTGGCTTATTTTCTCCACTTGATGCAGTTGCAGTCTGCTGGACAAACACAAGTAAATGGCTCTTTAAAAAAAGGCTGTTTCAGATTTTCTCCTGCAAGCTCCACTGGACAAATTAATCTGGTGGACAGGCAGGAATGTAACAAACTTCAGAAGAAACAACTTCATGTTGCTGGCATCGCACCTCCTCTTAGTCTAGACTGTTCTGTATAATAGAAAGGGAGAAACAGGTTTAAAATCATATTCATGAAATGTCTGAGTTTCATATTCTTGAAAAGCTTATTAGGAGTAAAATTTTATTCTCTGTGTTTGAAGCTGTGTTCTTTAATGCATTAAGCCTTTGGGCTTAATGTGATTTACTTTTCATTAAGCAGTATAAGAAGATGCTCAGAAAAAAACTCACTAAAATACATTTACTCATTAAAAGCTAAAAGTCCATTGTAACTGTTCAGACAACTTTTGATGTAGGTACCGTGCTAGCTATAGAGCCTCTTTCTGTGGACAAGTCCTGCCTGAGTACTTGAGGATATCACTATTAAAACTGACTGGAACCTTCTAAAACCCCTGTGAAGCTGGAAGATGATGACTAGCCCTGACTGAAGACATGGTCTTTGTACATCATTTTCCCAACAGTCCATCCACTCTGATCAGAGCTGGGAGCTGGGGCTGTATTTCTCCAGTCACTGTCACAGTTAAAATGTTCATCTGAGTAGGCCTGTTGTATCAGCCTCATTGCTTTCTTAATACTGGTTTTCGTGGTCAGTCAGAATGGAATTGTTGTTACTGCATACGTGCGCTGAAATTATGGAGGCTTTGAAAGTAAAATGAATACGTGTAACCATTCACAGTTTGCTTCTGCCTGTTTAAATTGCTCAGAGGTGAACTACAGGGGTAGCCTATGAAACAGCAGTAGGTATGCTGAAATTTGGGGTTGCCTGAAAACCTATGAGCATGCTTCTGGAATATTTGCAATGTAATAGGTTATCACCTGGCTATGATCCTTTTCCAGACTTTGGAAGCAGCAGGTGCTAAGGCTCAGATCAGCTGAATCTTTGCAGTTGTGAGAGTAGCTTATGCCCTCTTGCATCCACCCTGCTCCTCCACCACAGAGAGTTGTCCCCAGAGTGCAACACGTGTCCATATTCTAGCACTTCCTCTTGGAAAGTAAAATCTTTGATGAAGTAACTTATAAAGGCAGACTTGGGTTAAAGGCAGACTTGGGCTAAAAGAGAGGCTGAGGTGCCCATTCCACTCTGCAGTTTCTTTAAATACTGTGGCAAAACCTGGTAGACGTTGGTCAGACCTATAGTATGAACAATCAGGATGCAAGGTGTGATGATGAAAGGTAAGCTGCTGGAAGAAATTCAACATAGTAAAATCATTTACAAATTGTATTTGGTTTGAGGGGCTACAGGCATGGTTTCTCTAAAAAGCTGCCAGAAGCTTCCCTTATGTCTGAAAGGGCCAATGCCAGCTGGCTTCACGATGGATATGCTGCTGGCCAAGGCAGAGCCCATCAGGTACTGGCAGTGCCTCTGGGTTGATGCAGTTAAGAAGCATACCACCAGCAGCAGTCATAACAGAGAAGTGAGGATTTTTAAAAGAAGCAGCCCTGCAAACACCAAGGTCAGTGAAGAAGGAGGGGGAAGAGGTGTTCCAGGTGTCTGAGCTGAGATTCCTCTGCAGCATTTGTTTGATAACAAATGAAATTAATTTTCCCCAAGTTGAGTTGAGTCTATTCTGCCCATGATGGCAACTGGTGAGTGATCTCTCTCTGCCTTTATCTCTACCGATGAGCCTTTCATTATATTTCCTGTCCCCTGTCCAGCTGAAAAAGGCAGCAATGGAGCAGCTTTGGTGGGCACCTGGCATCTAGCCAGGACCAGTCCACCAGAGAGATGATGGAAGGAACCCTTCCTGGGACTTCATTCCAGCTAAGAGGAGCTGAGGGTGGGGTGTAGCAGGGCCTGTGAAGCCTGACTTTTGTTTTCTCTGTGTTCTCTTCCTGGATCACTATGGGTTCCCATTCCAGTAGAGCAAGTTTAACTCTTAATTTAGAATGTTTTAGTACACAGCTAGATGACCTAATGAAGTAACAGGTAAAACATACTGAAAAGCATGTAACATTGGCTGCATAATAATTGCACAAAAATGGGGCAGCTTCACATCAGTGGAATTTTTGTTAAAAATACAAATGTGTGTATTTTTTCTCTCCCAGATAAACATTAAAAATGCTGAAAAAGTTAGCACAATAAATAAAGCATTTGCTGAAGTTCAGAAAGAAATCCGGCAGCTATCAAAAGGAAGCACAGCAGAACCTCAGAACACTCAGCAGGTAATTTCCCTTTGTAAAAATCTGACGAGAATGAAAAGAATGTGTGTGTTTCTAAGAGAATGTGTCTCTTGGACTGCAGGCAATTAGCTCAGTTGGTCAGTGTGGTGCTGAGTTCAACCATTTTGATGGCCATTTACTTTAGAGTTGGACTTGATGATCCTTGTGGGTCCCTTTCACCTCAGAATATTCTGTGAATCTGTGAATTCATTCAGTTGCTTTAAAGCTAGAATCCCAGTTTTATGAATTTCATTTGTGTGGCAATGCTTAAACCTAGTTAGCATGTTCAAATTCTATAGAACTACTAAGTAGAGAGATAAGAG